TTTATAGCACAGTCGGGGGCCTGGCCTGTGAGAACAGGCGTGACAATTTCCATATTTTGGGGGGGGGAGGGGGTGGCCAAGCCCAGCCCCCTCCCCGTTACTGACTTAAGTCCGTCAATACCCCTTTGGACCCCTTTCCCATGCATATGCAGAAAAAAGGAAAACCAGGCCGCTAAAATTGAGTAAGTTTCTGAGCTGCTTATAGACTAGGCACCCAAGCCATCACATTGCTTAACACGCGTAATACGCATCACTATCAATATCATTATCACATACCACCATTACGCAGTCAAATCGGCTTCAAATGGGAGGTCATTCCCCAGCATCGAAACAAGTTCGGAACCGGCCGACAATTTTGTTTAAGATATGATTCGGAGCGGAAATCAAAGCGGCCGAAGTCCGAGGAGAAGTAAGGATGCGGGGACAGGTCAGGTCAACTTCACTGGCTCCGCCACCCAATCGATTTCAGAAGGTGACACCCCTGAGTGAGCAGCATGGAGTGACCAGGCAACGACGCTGTGCAGAGTGGGGCCTTCGGACTCCCGTAGAGTCTCCAGAGAACGCGTAGCACTATGCCGTGTATTGTGCACCCTAAGCAGTGTACACACATACAAGAGTTTACAAGCCGCTGCAAACATTTGTGACAGTCCTGTCAGCGAACGTTTTTATGAGACTTGAACGCCATCAGTAATTTCGACGCTCGATGCTTCAGTGTTTTTGCGTGCCACCACTGGTGACGAACGATGCTGCCTTCTAATACATCAATGATATGACCGTGGTCGTAAGAGCTAGACCAATGAGATAGGAAGTTTCCGCAGAGAGCGACAGAATTCGTGTGATGGGGCAGCATCGAGACAACACCGAGAACTGACCGCCCCGTCGGTGCAGCAGGCAGCATTTCGGCCCCTTCGGCGCTCAAAGCGAGTGACCGACGGGTCTCTCCGACATAGCACCAAGTCGCTTCGATTTCAACGTAATGCATTCAATTTTTGACGGTGCAAAATGTCTTTGTGGAAATAGCGAGCATTGCTACTCTTAGTACATGGGCAATAAACCCGGAATTAAACGGTAGCGCCGTAGGTGTCCCACAAGGAGCCAGCCCGCTGAGTAGGATAACGAATAGGGTGACGTGATAACTGCTTTTGTCGCAAAAACAAAACGCGTGGGTGGATTCGTTTGCAATACTGATAAAGCTTTCCCGCTTCATGGATTAGTCGAAGATAAAAAGGTGTGTCAAGAGGTCAAAAAAGGTGTGTTCATACTCGATACTAGATACAAAAATGTTTTGACTGTCCATCGTAGTGGCATTTATACTAAAACATCTCAGTGCACTCTGCATAGGATGAAATGATGCTTTCATGACAGTGCGTTTCATCACACAATTTTAACATGTGTGTACCATGTCTCTGAACAAGATTTGACTTACTGATGTGAGGGCTGTACGCGTTGAGGAAAAACGGTCCTCATCTTTTGTGACGAAGAATAAGTTCTGGATAAGCGGCAAACAAAATAAGCGGCATTCTGCCTTTTTTGTCCGTTTTCTCAGAAAATGGTGTCCTTTCCCGGGAAAGTGGTTTGCGGCATAATCGTAAAACATGCGCAAGACAACTCTGGCGTTTCTAAACCTGCTGGTGCCCACTATTTCAGACATTGCACTGGCCCGAGTGACCGTTAGCGATGTTTTCAGACATACGCAGACTTATGGGCGTGTTCGGAGGGCACAGAAGAAGGTCAAAGCCGGTGAAACGGTGACACAAAGACTGCGGCGACGGCTGGTGAAGGCGATTTCAAGTATTCCGCTAGCAGGCGCTGCGATATGTCAAATGAGTTGACATATCACAGCACCCGCTAGTGAAACGTTTTCGCGCATCACAGTCATCGGTCAAGGAAATACAAAGGGAAGATAGAGGAAATGACAGAAAAAACAAAGGGATCAAAGATTTCTGGAGATCAACGAAGGCGTCAGAAGATATGTAACTTGTCCCGAGGACTGACGCCCAGCAGACAGGCTAAAGACATCGTGACTGACGACTACTGCGTCACCTGCTCTACTATCGAAGTGCCAGGAAATTCGTGTTTTTATAAACTTGCTGGAAGAGATGTCCTTTCTGGTGTAAGACTGAAGGATGGGAGCAAGGTCCCACGCAAGTTGCTGATATGGTTCACCACCAGCCCACGTGGATGATAGTGGTGACGATGATCTTGTGGACGATCACCCAGTCGGTGATCGTGCCCAACGGAAAGGATGTGGGCGGGCCAGCATTAGGTCAAAAGTGAGTACAGAAGGTTCTTTTACCTTTTAAGAACTCACTTCGATGATGACCTGCACATTTTCTGACCAGAAATTGCCCCTACACATAGCACACGAAAGGCGCTGCAACTGCTTAAAGACACTGCGCGCGGTTTTAACCTCAAGAACATGAACCCACCCTGCATTCCCCTGCTCCGGCCAATAAAGACATGTGACACGTCACCAGTCCGGTGTGGTATGCCAGGAAAGGCTATGGGGAGCTTAGATCAGGATACGAAAAATCATCCGTGAACTTAACCCGGAGATGTTACGTAGGATGATGGAGAAGGAGGCCGCGCACGTGCACCTAGCACGCAATGATCACTTCCCCTTAATGACCAAGCTGACCCCCCCTTACGACAGTGAATCCCCCCCTCCGCGTTCTGAAGCCTAAGCACGAGTAGAATGTTGAAACTAGGAGTCTGGCAAGGTCCCCAGGTTGGATATTGCAAGCAGTGCTGAAAAAAACAGTCCTTTCAGGCATTACATATCCTTTCAGGCACAACTGACCTTCAAACAAGTTTTAGGGCGAGGCAGTCGCTTCGACTTCCGCTATCAGGACGAGGGTTAAAATGTTGACCCTAGGCTGCCGCTGCTCAAGACTTCTGTATAGGCCACGCGTGCCGTTACCCGTGGTCAGTGGCTAGAAGAGCACCTCACAGGATGAATTTTCAGGATCCGGTCTGGTCTAGTCCCGCTTGCCCAGATCCGATCCGCATTCCAATCCGGTTTTCCCAGATTCCCCAACCGAATCCGATCTGGTCCGACTCAACAGAAAACAAACTATGAAATGAATATGTGCTAATAAATTTTCATATTAAGAAATTATTTGTTATTGAACAGCAGCGTTGGCCCATTTGAGTGTTTTAGATTTGAGTTATTTTTTACAATTATTGACTCGAGGTTAGGTACAGCATATCTACACATGCCGCTGGAAGGCCTCTGGTATTCTGTTCACAAGTGCTGGACAACGCTCATTGGGTACGCCTTCTGAATGAATAAAACGGTCATCTCACGTCATATATGATGCTTAATGTGCGTGTCCGTTCTCGGACCTACAGACATTTTTCAGCCGCGACCATCATTTCCTACTAGATTGTTAGCTGCGTCAAAATCACAATCGATTTGTGCGACTGTTCGCTGGGCCTGCGGCACCTGCTTTCACCCATGAGAATGAACCGCTTGTGTCATTTTCGAGCCCCATTGCTGGAATGTCAGATGCTACCAGAGGCCCTTTTTGCTCATGATGGAAAAGATGCGAAACATTTTTAATTGTAATCATGCGTAGCACAGCTGCATGAAGCCACATTTAAACAGTGAAAAAAACAATATTCCAGGCACATCGACAATGGTACGCCACTTTCGTTTCTTTTTTATCACGCTAAGGGAGGTACCATATTTAGATGGCGAAGCCTTTTGGTCATGTCGTTCGACATTTCGTGCGTCGTGAGTTCCCCGGATGCTAAAAAGGAACTCTACAATATTTACAAAACGTGGTGCGATGGTTCAGTACACGTCGCCCGCCATGGGGCGTATCATGACCGCAGACGCTTTGACATCTCATATACATACCAGCCACTGGCCAAGGGCCCTGGGGATCGCACAAGCTACTCGGAATCATACCAGATCTTCATCTGGGGCAGAAATGAAGTCTTGCGTGGCATGCTCGCCTACGTTAATTTCCGGGCTTTCTGTGTGAAGTGTCTTCAACCTTCTAAATCATGGCAGGAGAATCACAGGCATGCAAATGCATTGCTGGCGTCCAATTTCTGCATGTAGCTCTTTTGTTGGGTGCAAAGAGTACCTAACTCTAACTCATAACTCAAACTCCTCTAACTCTAACTCACATCCAGCGACAGCCTGCTGGCCACCTTTTCGCCTTTTGAAAGTCACCTTTGGTCCCTGATTGTAAAGCATAACATGTTCATTCTTTAAGACACATGAATGGGGGAAGTGGGTCCAAAAAACTGTTGGGCAGCAACAAACGTTGTTTTGGCCACGGGGAAACGAATCAATCGAAACAGCATGCCTAATTTGAAGCTGATGTTGAACCCGCAGATTTGGCTGACTGACTAGATAAACAGAAACTGTAGTGGTGCACTGGAATTAATCTATCTTAACTTGCTCAGAGAAGCTCAGAAATTCCAAAACTTTGTTGTGTTTTCTGCCAACAAAACATGCTTCTACCCCGTTTTTCAACTCTAAAATGCAATCTCACCCACTGGGGTTAAATGGAATGGTCAGAAGGCATGGTAGTTATGTCTGGATAACATAGGTTAGTAGGTTATAAGGCACTTTAGTCACCCTGGAAAGAATGAAAGTTCTAGTTTTCCATAGCAGCATACTATGTAGCCTATGTTAACATGATTTTGAATCGAAACTATTGTATCTTGTTAAATTAAGGATTTTTTTAGTTCATGTCTTCATTGAACAATTCAACGACCATTAAGCAATAATTTCCATTTGATTGTTTATCAATCCGTGTGAGCCGGCAACTTCGAAAATCCGGTCCAGTTCTTATCCATGTCGTGGTAAAAGTTTCTGATCCAGTCCAATCCGGCTAGCGGATTGGTCCACAATCCGCTGGTTCATCCAATCCGCGAAGAGCTCCACCAGTTGGCCTGGCCGATGGGCCGGTTGAGCGCGCGCAAACCGGCCGCGCTCCTGCCAGATATAAACACAGCGGACGTGAAGCTGCTGCCGACTGTACCGTGGTCACCCCGGCCAGCAGAGACCAGGAGGGGTCGGTCGGTCCCTGACGGGACAGGGACGCATCGGACAGCCTTCCGGTCAGATCAACACCGCTGCCGGGTCACCATGCGCGCCACCCTTCTTTGGTCGGTAAGCAGCACGGGGTCAAATGCAGCAGGCGCGGTGCGTGTTGCTGTGAGGACGTCCCACATGTGGTTCATGTGTTTGTGGTCAGCTGCTTATTTCCACAGGATGCGTTCATGCTGAACGTGCGGTTAGATATGGTGGTTCTCCCGTCCCTCGAGCCCACTTCGCTCGCTATTATAAATGCAATGCGATGGGCATGCGTACATGGAGCTGGATGTGTGAAGCATCAATAATTTGACTACATATGCCCAACGTCCAAAGAACAGATACACACATGGTGATAACGTAAGTAATTTCAGTCATTGCCATACAAAGGCATAGTACATTTCATGCCTCAAAACATGCCTCGGCTCGTTGGGGAACCATGCATGTCGCTCTACGTTTCAACACATCGCAGCCTGATATTCAGCTATTTTAGTCATTTTGTTTGAAGGTGACTGATTCGACCACATCTATATTCTGTTGGTTTCTTCGAAAAGACTAAGATCAGTTTGTTGAAGCTGTCTGGCTTTTCAAACACGTGCTTTGAACACATCGTGCCTAAAGCTCGGATACATGGCACGCGTAGTGACAGTTGAAGGAAGCAGTGCTCAGGGACCTCAATATGGCAGAAATATAGCGTAAGATCTGTGTTGTGCACACAAACCACCGAGGACAAAAGGTCACCTGTATACTCCGATTACCTAGGGGAGAAGACATAACACCCCCCCCCCCCCCCTCCCCCATGTGTTGCGGGAACAACTTCTGAACCGTACCAGGTATCTCCATCTAGTTCTCAGGACTGCCCAGATGGCCGAAATTACGCATTACTGGGTACAGCAATCAAATGGCTGATTTGGTCACGGATATATGACGCATAATCATTTATGTATTCTTGCTGTGAATTTTGCAGTACTCTGCAGAATGTTTTCTTGTTTCGAGTCGCAAAACTTAAAACCATCGAAAGGTTTTGCCATGTGGTCATGAGCATGCCACTCAGGCCCAGTCTCACTATAAGGTATCATCAGGCGGCATGTGAGGTTAATTAGGAAAGGTGGACGCGACGTTGTTTTTTTCTTTTCAGCGCCCACGTACAATAAAAAGTTGGTATATTTAACCGATTTTGAGCCTGGCGACTACCATTTATCAGCCATTATCAAACAGATCAGGTGACTATTCAGGCAGTCGCGATAACCAAATACTGTCGCTCACGTCGGAAGAACACATTTGCTTGACAGACAGATGGGGCTGAAATGTGCTCTCGCCTTGGCTTTCCGTGAATATCTCCGGAGAAGACGGACAAACAAACTTCCTTGCCTACCCACAAAGGAAAGCTTACCACGCCGTTTATAGGGAAGGAAAATAAAGTAGTCCCATATACATTGAAATTGCGGGTCGGTTAAATCAGCACTTCACCTAGCGTGAACGAGTAACAAACGAAGACAATTCGCCTACTGTAAGTTTTCGGCAAGGGATTGCTTGCTTCTGCAGTGGCGACTAGTGTATGCATATTGGTATTCGTTAAAATGCCAAGGTCATTCCGAGGAGGCGAGGTCAACCTCCTCCACATTCCACGTAATTGTTAAAGGTTCGCTACCGCACTTACGAAATTGTAGGCATATCCCGTTCTTGAGAAACATGCACCACACCACCACGCATTACTTGGCTGGACGTAAAACACCTGCAGAGGTTTTGAGAACGATGGGAATCTGGATCATTTTTCTTTGCCACATTTCCCATTCATAAACTTCTGACAGCCTTGTTAAGTTGGTGAACGTTAGATGGTCTCCCGGAACATGTTTCTAGAGAAAACAATTTCAAACTAAGCACTATGGAGACACGGGTTGCAATCGATGATAGTCACGACGGTATGACACTCAGAAATTACATTTTCTGTGTGTGTGTGTCATTGGGGCTTTACGACGCACTCAGCTGCCGAGGCTATATGGCGTCGCCTGCCTCTCACCCTGGCAGGAAGGGCGGGCACCGCGGGGAACCGAGAGCTGCCGGCTGGTGCAGACGAGCCATGAGCCGCTGGACCCCGCTTGCGATGTGTTTGCAACGTTCATACCACCACATTTACATGATTCGATCATGTAAACACTACAAGACAGAGCAAACATTGGGCAGCTGGGCAGTGAGCGGACATCGGCGCATGTTGCTCCGCTGTGGGCCAAACTGGCATTGGTAATGGACCGCGATAGATTCAGCAAATGCTACTATACTGCTAGTTATGGTATCGGCGAAGGTCGAGAATCGCCGGCTTTAGTGAGACCCTTCAGAAATGTTGAAACTAAGCTTGTGGTGCAGGAAGTTTAAACCCGGTTGGATGTTTTCAAATAGTCTAACAAGCATTCAACTGGCTTACAAATATCGCGTTTGGCCTCACTTTTAGCGACTTGTTAAAGCCATATTGTGTTAAGGGGAGGGGAGCTCGTTCGACTCCGTCATATCTAAAAAATGCCTGCTGATTACCGGAAACGAATCGCTGGTCGATTCCTCACGACACCATTTACATTATAAAAAAGGACGCTTCAAACATCGTTAAATTGCAGTCAGTGGCGTATCTAAGCGACAGAACAGAAATCGGGAGGATAGCACGCATTTTCAAAACATGTTTTTTGAAAAGAATTAGAGCAGGGAAAATGCGATGGTACGTCGCCATGACAGTTAGATATTAGCCGACAAGGTAGATGCCAAAAATGTCATCCCAGGCGGTGCCATGGGAGCAAAAAGGCGAGACTAAGTGAGTGGTAGACAACAAATGTCGATGACAGTGGTGATATTTCATTACAGTGCTCAGACAGTGTAAGTGGAAATGTGCCATAGGAGCATCCAGGTCAGGAAAGGGAGTAAAGTTTGGGAGTATGGACACGTGAAAGTTGGGATCACCGTCCGCTGGCTGTTCCCTGTTGGCGGTCACGAACTTCATGTACTGCAATAACCCCTCCCTGCCCTGTTGTCGTTCCTGGACTCACCTTTGACATGGAAGTCACCTTTTTAAATGGTGTTTACCGCTCATAAGTGGAAAATGAATTGTTATATGTCATTTTAGTGTTTCATGTCTCACATGATATGGCCCCAATCGCTCTCAGCACTGAAAAAAAAATGTTCAGAAAACTGTGTTTGATCAAAACGCATGTCATTTAGGGTATTTATCGCAACAAAACAAATATCTGTGTTTCCATTACGGTTTCCATGATTTTCTTCGGATCTCTCGCCGTTGGTGTGGCTGGCCTTTATTTTGTGCCGGCTGGAAGAGGCGTCTTGCAACGATCTTGAATCCCTGTCACCCCTAGCGACATACATCTTACCATAAGACCATATTTAAGAGCCCCTACTATATAAGTACATGGAAATTTTCGGAAACGCAACATTAGGAAAAAGAGGCAAAGACGAAAATGAGACAAAAATGAGGCATGAGATTGCAAGAACCCTCGCACATATGAGGAATGCAGATACATGTTGTGTTATTCATTGTGATGCGGACAAAAAATGTGTATTCCACAAATACGATTCGAAGACTAAAGTATGAGAGGAAATATCATATATTTGTTGTTTTATTAAATGTGAGATTTCAAATCATATACTAAAATATAATATCAAGTCTCACACTGTGTTGTAGCATCAGGTTGTACGATTCCCTGCAAATTGCCTCTGCTCGTATCCATTGCTTGACCTTGACCAGCCATAGGTCAGCGACCTTACGAGATCCGTCTAATTTGTACTATCGAAAGATCCGCGATTTTAATGTGTACAGCTGCGCGAAATTTGGTGCGGATATGCCACGTTGTTTGGAAATTCCTCTCTAAATACCTTTGGAGGGATGAAATTGACCCCTCACTCGACCGCGTCTCGACAATTACGACTTCTTATGGTTGCCTTTGAATGCATGATCCTATGCGAGCTGCAGTGTCGTTCTGTCGTAATTTGTTTACAATATTTTGGGAAAACAAGCCATCGCATGTCGAACAGGGCTGTTTTAACATCTTGAAAGCCTTCATTCGCAACTTACAAGTAAGGAGTGCATGCGGTGTGCCAAATCCAACAACCATGCAAAAGGACCATGAACTTATCAATGGTGACCGCAGTCTTGCGTGCGCTAAAATTGTCCGAGGTCCTGAAAATACGTATCATCCATGCATGATATGTCACATGGGTATACTTAAAAAAGAAAGAAGTCCGGTGGTGATCTGAAATATGGACCGCGTAATTAGGACTCGGGAATAGATGAAATTAATGTACGCGTATTATCCTGTTTGTGTTGCAGTACCGCTATCCGATGGTTTTTATACTTATGACGCTACTGATTGTTGATCTGATCATATTTTTGAAATGCATTCCGAAGGTTGGATGCCCCTTTAACAATGAAAGCTCAAAATTTGCAAAATGAAAAAGTTAGCCGAAACGCGTGGCAAAACCCTGTTCGTAGATCGACAACGGGAAGTTGCAGCAAAACGGGATCTATAGATCCCAATACCAAGACCATGCCTTGGTGTAAAAAAGGACCGCCATGCGGGCTTAAGTACGAATCGACGGGCACAGCTGCGCATGTGCAGCTTTGACGTTTTGCTCAGAAAGGTATCGAAGTTATTCCTCGACCCGTTTCCTATTGTACATAGCGCGGACTGATTGGGGGCCGGTGCGACCCCCGCCGTTTTCAGAGTAATAAATATAGAGCTTAGAAAAGGCTCCAGTGGATTGCTTCCGATTGAGATCTCGCCATTGGCAATAAGTTTGATGTTGGTAGGTCAACAATTTGCCGCATTATGACAGGTCAAAGATGAAGCTTCAGAAAATCGAGCTTTTCGGCTTTACATGTTCACATGTTTGAAGCCATGCCCCGTAACTGTACGAAATCTAAACAGGCGTGCTCCTTGTTTAATCTGAAGAACAGTGATGATAAGTTGCATGTGCTTGAACATACATTTATGTTATATGGCTCCAATAATGTTCTAATGTCGGACCGCCGCGCGCATCCCACGGCACCGTCGGCTGCCGCTCACCGCCCGCTCCGGCCGTACATAGACCACCGTGTAGCTCCCCAAGAAATCCGACGGTGCCCCAAACCAGAAAAGCTTGGGACACTTTTCTGGAAACTTAATATTAATGGGGTGCCGTGTATTTGGCAGCGAGCTGATAGCCACTCGACCTCAAGTTCTACATCACGCCAAATGTCCCCTTAAAAAAAGACGAGATACGCCACATAGCTCGTCACATATATGCCCCACTTATCTGTTTGTCACATGCATTGCCTTCCATTTCGTGAACCCGCAAACAAGCCGCGATTAGCATTGCTAACACTTCAACTTCAAATACGTGGACGCTTATGAAGCTTTTCAAACTGACATGTGTTTTAAGCGGAAAAAGCATTACTGTGCATCGCGCACACACCCCAATTAAAACCCTCAAACTAAAACAGTCGTACAATGCGTATCTGTGTGGCTGACAAAGTTCGCGTGTTATTCCAGTTCCGAGTCCTGCAATATTGTTCCATGATATATGCCAGGACTTCGTGCGATGGCTTTATACCCACCTTCATCTGTGCGAGGGGGTCTCCTCGCCCCAACCTTACAGCTTCAGACTCACAAACTTCCGCGTTTTCATGTCGCATCATGTGCCACGTTGCTATCTGGCAGTCTGACCTCACCTGACCTGACCTTGCCCCTTTGCAGGCCCTGCTGCTGTCGGCGCTGCGCTCAGACGGAGCTCGGGCCTCCGACTGCGTCACAGGCGCTGAGGGCTCCTGCTTGCCTAACGGCGACCTGAGGGGCACTCTGCCACCACAGGGTGCTGCCGGCACTGGACAGGTCCCTGAGCAGCTTCCTGCACAGGCCCCAGATGAAGCTGGGCAGCCCCCTGGGGAGCCCCCTGAGCAGCCCCCTGCACAGGCTCCTACTGGCACCGAACACCCTCCTGAGCAGCCCCCTGAGCAGCCTACTGCACAGGCCCCTGCTGGAACTGAGTGGCCCCCTGAGCAGCCCACTGAGCAGCCTACTGCACAGGCCCCTGCTGGAACTGAGCAGCCCCCTGAGCAGTCCCCTGAGCAGCCTACTGCACAGGCCCCTGCTGGAACTGAGCGGCCCCCTGAGCAGCCCACTGAGCAGCCTACTGCACAGGCCCCTGCTGGAACTGAGCAGCCCCCTGAGCAGCCCACTGAGCAGCCTACTGCACAGGCCCCTGCTGGAACTGAGCAGCCCCCTGAGCAGCCTACTGCACAGGCCCCTGCTGGAACTGAGCGGCCCCCTGAGCAGCTCCCTGAGCAGCCTACTGCACAGGCCCCTGCTGGAACTGAGCGGCCCCCTGAGCAGCCCACTGAGCAGCCTACTGCACAGGCCCCTGCTGGAACTGAGCGGCCCCCTGAGCAGCCCACTGAGCAGCCTACTGCACAGGCCCCTGCTGGAACTGAGCAAATCCCTGAGCAACCTCTTGAGCAGCCCTCTGCACAGATCCCTGCTGGCACTGAGCAGCCCCCTGAGCAGCCTACTGCACAAGCCCCTGCTGGCACTGAGCAGCCCCCTGAGCAGCCTACTGCACAGGCCCCTGCTGGCACTGAGCAGCCCCCTGAGCAGCCTACTGCACAGGCCCCTGCTGGAACTGAGCAGCCCCCTGAGCAACCTTTTGAGCAGCCCTCTGCACAGGCCCCTGCTGGCACTGAGCAGCCCCCTGAGCAGCCTACTGCACAGGCCCCTGTTGGCACTGAGCAGCCCCCTGAGCAGCCTCCTGTACAGGCCCCTGTTGGCACTGAGCAGCCCCCTGAGCAGCCTCCTGTACAGGCCCCTGTTGGCACTGAGCAGCCCCCTGAGCAGCCTCCTGTACAGGCCCCTGTTGGCACTGAGCAGCCCCCTGAGCAGCCTCCTGTACAGGCCCCTGTTGGCACTGAGCAGCCCCCTGAGCAGCCTCCTGTACAGGCCCCTGTTGGCACTGAGCAGCCTCCTGAGCAGCCTCCTGTACAGGCCCCTGTTGGCACTGAGCAGCCCCCTGAGCAGCCTCCTGTACAGGCCCCTGTTGGCACTGAGCAGCCCCCTGAGCAGCCTCCTGTACAGGCCCCTGTTGGCACTGAGCAGCCCCCTGAGCAGCCTCCTGTACAGGCCCCTGCTGGCACTGAGCAGCCACCTGAGCAGCCATCCGCCACCACCAGTGACAGCCTGCAGAGCAGCTGCCGGCCGTTCGTGCTGTGCCCAGCGGCCCTGGCCGACACGGCCAGCACCGGCGACCTGAGCTGCCCGCTGGGCGACGGCTCGGCCGGCGTCATCTGTCGCGACTTCGGCATCAACCCGCTGGAACTGGCAACGCATGCGTCCGGTCATAGGACAGACGACCGGAGGAACACATCACGGCCGCTCTCCAGCGACCAGATCATAAACGACTTGTTCATAGTCGTCGGCGACGACAGCGAATTGCTAGAGGCATCCAAGCAAGCTGCACAACGCATCCAAGAGCAAAAACTGCAAGGTAGCCAGACGGCGCCCAGAGACTCCCCTCTGGGTCTTTTCAGCCTCAACTCCGGCTCCAGGCATGGGTTGCATAAACTCGGCCTGCAGTGCCTGCATCATCAGCTGACGCTCCAAGCTATAAGCGAGCAGGGTAAAAGCCACTTGCGGCTCGTCTCGAGCTTCAGCGGTGGGCAGACTGGCGCCAACGCCTCGGCAGCACAGCCCACACGCCTCGGGAACTGCACGGTGGAGAAGCCCATCGTCTGCAAGGACAGTTTCTACCGCACAGCGAGCGGCGAGTGCAACAACCTGCAGCGCCCGCGCGAGGGCGCGGCGCGGACTGGGTTCAAGCGGCTGCTGGAGAGCACGTTCGATGGTGGCGTCGGAGCTATCCGCTCGCGAAGCGTCAGAGACCTGCCGTTGCCAAATCCACGACTCATCAGCGAGCGCATGGTGAAGACCATCTCGAAGGAACTGAACGGCTTCACGCTCTCCGTAATGCAGTGGGGCCAGTTCATCGACCACGACTTTAACCTCGCGCCTTTCTTCAGCAATGGAGCCACTGATCCCATCACGTGCTGCGAGGATGGTGGCCGCACGCTGCCGGCCACGCCCCTACACCTGCAGTGCATCCCCTTCTCCATCCCGGCCGACGACCCGTTCTACAGCCAATTCGGCCAGCGCTGCATGAGCATGACGCGATCAATACCGGCGCCGCCCCTGGACTGCATCGCGCGCCCTACCACGCCCCTGAACGCCATCACCTCGCACCTGGACGCGTCCAATATCTACGGCAGCGACCATGAGGAGCAGAGTGAGCTGCGCGCCCACCGCGACGGCCTGCTGCTCACCTCCGACAACAACCTGTTGCCGCTGGCGACCAGCCCGGAAATGGGCGCGTGCACGAAAAATGCCACTGTCTGCTTCCGTGCCGGGTGACGAGCGGGTCAACGAGCAGAGCGCACTGACCGTCATGCACACCATCTTCATGCGCGAGCACAACCGCGTGGCAGGCGCGCTGAAGCAGAACCACCGCGACTGGGACGACGAGAAGCTGTTCCAGGAGGCGCGGCGGATCGTGGTCGCCGAGTGGCAGCACATCGTCTACAACGAGTGGTTGCCGATCATCGTCGGGTTCGACTACGCCAGGGATCATGACCTGCTGCCAATGACGTCCGGCTTCTCCACATTCTATGACGTGCACGTGAACCCCACCGCATCCAACGAGTTTGCCACCGCCGCCTTCCGCTTTGGTCACTCATTGCTGCGCGACTTGTACCACCTGATCAACGCCGACGGCAAAATCGTCCAATCTATTAATCTCACCAGTACCTTCTTCGATCCGGATGTCATAACGCGAAGATTCGTTGAGCACGCGCGGACCTTGGTCGCTACACGATGCGAGGCATTCGACACCAACATCATCAGCAGCGTTCACCAGAAGCTGTTCATGAACAATGAGCTATTCGGCCTTGACCTGATTGCGATCAACATCCAGCGAGGACGTGATCACGGCATCCCCACGTACACGACCATGCTGAAGGCCTGCACCGGCTTCATCGTCTCCAGCTGGGGCGATCCTCAATGGTCTGATTGACTCCGGGACAATCGACCAGCTGCGCTCCCTCTACGATGATCCTGGAGACGTGGACCTCTTCATCGGTGGTCTGGCTGAACGGCAAGCCCCTGGCGCCCAGGTGGGGCCCACCTTCCAGTGCCTGATCGGGCAGCAGTTCTACGACGTGCGCTTTGGAGACCGCTTCTTCTACGACAACGGCGGCTTCCAGCACAGCTTCACAGCCGCCCAGTTGAAGGAGATCAGAAAGAGCAGTTGGGCGCGCATCATGTGCGACACGCTCGGTCCAGAGTTCGGAAACGACTTCACGCGAGTGCAGCCGCTGGCGTTTGTCGAGTTTTCGGTGGGCGCGAACGGCATCACGTCCTGCGGCTCGCAGGCCATTCCCAGCCTGAACCTGGCGGTGTTCGAATGAAGACATGGCTAGCGAACCGCTTGCATGAAGGAGTCTCGCCCAGCCCTGCTGTCCGATCCTGAATCGTGAACCGGATCGCGCGTACGTTACCTCGGGTCGTGTTTGGATGCGATGTCGCAAGGCCGTGCGCCAGACGTCATCACGGCGGCGGACATCTCACTAAGATGTCGCTGGCATGCCTGGCACCTCTGATAATGAATACAAGATGCAGCCTGCGCGGACATTTTAGTAGGCTAGCCGTGACGTCATTGCTTGCATTGAACTGTGGATGGATGCAACCACGGTTTATGCAACTAAAGCTGTGATATAGAGTCTTGGACGAAAATGAAAGCATCTTAGGTTGACACCAAGAGCTTTCACCACAAGCACGTTTGCCTCCAATTTGTGCGATGCTTTCGAAGGGCGAAAACATGTGCTCTAAAAAGCTGAGGTGAGCAATTTGGCGGCATTTACAGATCGAATTTTGTACGGCGGGGATTTCCAAAAGAGACCACTGACGCACCGGAACGCAACGGCTAAATTCAAAACCACATGTTTGGCTGAAGACCCCGACTAAATAGGGCTGCGTAGGAGGCGCAATATCTCAGAAATACCGAGGACGGGAACGGGCGCCTCATGTGGCAGACAACACGACATCGCTGATCAATCAGACTGCAAATTTAGGCTGCGTCCTCATACCGTGTTGCCTCGTAAGAGGGGTCTTGTGGTGTGAATTGTGGTGCGAAACTAGTTAGATATTTAGTGTGGCCATGGGATCGTAGCTGTAGAAGTATGGGGTGGGTAAAAATTTAGAAGTGGAATGGCCATTACCATGTGCTTCAGGACAGATCGAAGGGAGCCCTGCCCTCTCATCTCTCGGCTTTGAACTAACTTGGCCACACAGATACGCAATGGCGGTGAACATGGTTTGGGATATTATGGAGCACATCAGTTCAATCGAGTCGGATTGGTAGCCTCCAGTATTTCATAGTCGTTTTGTGTGAGCGCCTTTTCTGTAACAAATTAATGTGCTTTGCCGAAAGAAAACTGGGCAAAATCGATAAATAAATTTGCACACACACCTTTCCTAACCTGCGCCCAGCCGGGACGGGGAAGTTGACCTCCTCCCGGGACCCGCAATTCCCAGACACCATATGACAAAACGAAGAGACAGTTGTAAAGGTCCCTTCAAAGCATGAAGAATGCACACCAAATTTTTGATATTAGGTTAAATGTGAGGTTTCCAGAATTCACGAAATGGCACAAACGGTCGTTCCGACAGATACATTCAAAACCTATGTTAACTCGTCAAGACGGATATTGACGGCACGAAAATAGACGCTGAAGGCCTGTGGGAGTCTATTCCCACCATTTCTGTTCCCGCAATGGTCATATTTATCACTAGAACAAGTTGAACAGTGGTAGATGACCCACAAAAAGTTATGTGTGGTCAAAGTTTATAAGAGTTTAAGTCAAAGTTTCCCGCTTTGACTTGGCCGAGGTGACTGATCTTGGTAGACCAAAACTCCAGATTTTCACAAAAGATGCCAAATTAATAGACAAAGAGGTACTGAAAATGTCATGTTGTTGAAATCCTTCGTTTTTTTTACCGGGGAACTCAACTGCCCCGCCGGGCGCGGGTTAAGAAGGCGACCATTGCTATCAATGCAAACTGACTTAGAATTTGCATTTCAATTTTCATGAAATGTTAACAAAATAACTGGATCGACTGTTGGTTAGTTATTGGTTTCTAAGGGCGCGGCAACTGCATTGGTTATTTACGCTATATTATAACTGGATCTGATGTAAACTGGAATTGATAGGATTTCTAATCGCGCTGCAGCCTATCAGCTACTGTCGAACAACAACATACAAGGTACATGGCATCACAAATGATGCGGTGATGACCATTCTGAAAGGAAACGTGCGTGGTGGCAGAAGGAAAATGTCGGCCATCGCTAAAGCTATTGCGATCTATGTGTTCCACGCTGTTCGATGAGCGCAAATACAGACAGCAAAAGCCATAGACCGGCCTGAATTTCCTGAGCCTGAACGGGAGAGAATGACGAACAATTTGCCACACAAACTTTACGCTGCGCGAATTTTTTGCATTACAAGCTTTTGACGTTACGAACTTCATATCCCACCCACTTTACTCTGAAGAACTTCAGGGGCACGAACTTTTCACTGCCAGGAACTGTAGGAACATGGACTTTTCACTGCAAACGATTACCGAACGAGCTTGTTCTGCACATGATTTTGTCCGTCGCCCACCTTAGACACGTGACCTAGCACGCATCGCCTACCTTCCACCCGAAGCCACACGGTGTCGCCTCGGTCGGGCCAGTGCCCAGGCCAGTGCCCAGGCGGCGCTGATGGTAGCAGTGAGACCGCAGAGCGCCGGGATAGGTTTCAGTGATTACCACCCGCTCTGTCCCGCTCCAGGCAAACGGCGGGCTCCAGACCGGAATACCATATTGACCGAAATCAAGCTGTTTGGGGCAGTTTTGGGCGTTCTTTGCGCCTTTGTCTCTGAGTCTTTTGTCAGTCTTTGAGAGCTTGCAAAGCCTCATGCCAACTGGAACCGGCATCGGTCAAATCACGGTTTGCGATGTCGTGGGGTCAACGATGATAGCTGTGTAATCAAAAGCATCCTGTACTTGTGTTTAGTCCTAATGAGCATCGGTCTCATTTCAAGTCCAGTTTGGGTGCATACGAAGTCATGCGTTACGGCATTCATAAGCCGTTTTGTCATTAGTACGCGCTCGAGTGGGGTGGGTCAAATTGCCCCCCCCCCCCTTGAAGGTTTTTCCGGGATGGTTTCCAAACAGCGTGGTGCAGCCGTGTCAAATTTTGCATGGCAGTAGATAATTGAATAGCGAATTGTCTGGCATACATATTTAGATGTACATGGCAAAGTCGCTGACCTATGGCAGGTCAAAGGCAAGCCATGGTTTCAGCGAAGACATTTTCTACGAAATCGTTCAATCTCATCCAATAACGGAGTGCTAGACGAAACCATGCATTTCTGAGATACTTTCTTAGGCAAAGCAACAATTAAATGGACAAATTAAATTAACCTAGGGTTGGGTATGAAGGTCATTCCAAGGCCAAGACTAATTCGTTTTATTCCTCCATGGCTTGCCGTATGAGGTGGTCTCTGGTGCTCATTTCGAATTTATTGATAACAGGAGCCGCATTATATACCTGCCATAAGGTGTATAATGCATAGCACTTCTTAAAGGTCAGAATAGATTACTGACCTGGAATGACCCAGGTCAACATCTTGTTTTTAAGAACATATCGCCCCAGAAGGGTGGAAACGCACGGCGGACCACATACAACCGTCAAGGTCAACCGGACCATACAGGCGCTCTCATTGGTCCTTTGAAGTGACGTAATGAAGTAGGCGGAGTGATATCGAGCAGCGCGCTAATGCCACATCTGCGAAAGTACACTACGGGGGGGGGGGGGGGGGGGGACGGGGATCCGACTGGAACGCCTCAGTACGAACAGGCTTAGAGCACGCCATTGTGACCGAGCAAAAAATATCACCCTCTCGACCTAGAAATTCACTGGTAGCATTACAAGTAAGTACTCAGCCCAGGCGGTCAAAGGCCTGACGCTTGGTTAACACCGGCCATATCCCGCCAGCAGGCGCATCCATCGCGGTCATACCCAACCCAGCGTCATATGGACTCAGGCCCAGTTCGAAGACTGGCAACTAACATTGTTTGGGGCATGTTGGTAATCCAGGGGCCGATCTCAGCGCAAGGTTGCCCCTCATAGGACTGGCAGCGGCGACTTTCACGGGCTGCTATGTAATATCTGGGTCAGGCACCCTCAAGGCATTTGTACGGGTTTAGCGGTGAGTTCGTGAAGCTAATATTCTCCCTACGCTTGCTCTCGTACTTAAGTTGACCTCCGGACTGGTACCGCCGCCGGGTGCGCGCCCGACTCTCTCTCTCTCTCACTCTCGCTCTCTCCCTCCCTCTCTCTCTCTCTCTTCTCTCTCTCTCTCTCTCTCTCTCTCTCTCTCTCTCTTCTCTCTCTCCTCTCTCTCTCTCTCTCCTCTCTCTCTCTCTCTCTCTCTCTCTCTCTCTCTCTCTCTCTCTCTCTCTCTCTCTCCTCTCTCTCTCTCTCTCTCTCTCTCTCTCTCTCTCTCTCTCTCTCTCTCTCTCTCTCTCTCTCTCTCTCTCTTACACACATAACCACTCGCAGCCTTGTCCATCAAATGATCATTCGATAGTGTGGTCGTTTGTTGAACGGTGCCCAACCACGGTAGTAGTTCCGGCAATCGCGTTATTTAACGCGTTCTTTCTCCCTTCAGATTGAATGTGACCAGCCTTTCGGATCCTCAGCCCAGGTCACGAAACAGACTCGCCCTGCCAGAACGGCCTCCACAGAGGGCATGTATGATATGCACACCACTGGTGCGCTCACAACCGTCTACGTGGGAGACGACTTCGCCGTCCGGAGTAGAGCTCCTCCCGAAGGAACTGAAGATGACGATGCAGATGCGGTCGCGGTCGCCACGATATCTAGTGATGAATGTGATCGCCGCGGTATCAAGCAGAATGGTTTCCGTGTGCTTGTCGGCAACTTTTCAAGGGCGGCACACCTCCGCCTGGTTGGTCAAACTAAGAGACGCTCTCGCCCGATGGAAAAGATTCACCCTCTCATCTGCGTCACCTGCCCGGAGGCGAGCCTGACCTGGGATGAATGTGTGATGCGCGCGCTCAGCTCTGGCCACGGCCTGAAGACCCGCTGTCGACTCTGCCGGCTGCCAGCCGTCCGGTGCAGTCGCCAGGGAAGGACCGTCATGTGGCACGGCTGCCACGTGTCACGACAGCTGGCGCGGGTCAAATTCGACAAGGTGGCGGCGCGGCTGGAGGGTGTGCCAGTGACGACGCCGCAGCCACGGCTACGTCGCTGTCACGAGTGTGGCATGCAGTTCAAGGGGAAGCTGACACCTCTCTTACAGCACGTGATGGACGCGTCCCATGCAGTGCAGCGTCATTGCACCACGTGTCAGTTCCCGGTATTCGCGTACACGCTGAACGCCGAGTATCGCGAGCTGCATGTGTGCGTCGGTGGAATTCAGTGGCTACAGGAGCACGAGGCCGCGCACCTCAGACGTGACAGTGGCTCGCCGAAACAAGATCCGGTCGAAGCACCAGAAGGCACGGCCTCCGATTAACTGGGTGCAGCTGCAGCTCCAACAGAGCCAAGCACGACATGGAGTACCGCCCTTGGTAGTCTTGAGCGCGAAATCGCTTTAGGACACATGCTTTCAGTCCTTTTTATAGGCATGTGTCACTCAGCAATGCTTAACTATCATATCCTATGAATCAATTCCGTAAAGCGCCACTTGCGTCGAGCTTACTAAGGCTTTATTGCGTAGCAGAACGTTTAGTAGAGTGGCAGTCGCCGTATAACACAAGAATAAACATCGAACTGAGAGTGTGAGAATACTCCCCCCCCCCCCCCCCCCCGTAAGTTGACCTGAGGATATCTCTCCGGTATGTCTTGTTATCGTGCCCAAATTTGCAGTAGCCTTTGGAGCACCTATCTTTCCCTTCCTGTTGCGCTGTGCCGGAATCGCTCTGCTTTGATGAATAAACGATTTTTTCCGGGTCCGCACACCCAAGCCGTGTGAGAGGCTGGAACAAGTGTGGAGTTGTCTGAACCACGATGCATTTAACGTGAAAAGCTGGTGCAGCTTGATACTTCACGGCGGCGGCTGGCGCGGCGTGCCGGCTAACGACACGAGAATATTACATTTCGGACTCCGGCAGTAACCGAGGGTCACTTTGGAAGCCTTGTCACTTTTATGTCAGTTTCCGTTATTCATGGAGGGTGTGTAAGTCCTCTGTTTGGGTGTATAAGCGCCACACATCGTTGCGGAGGGCGCAAGCGCAGGCGCAGCACGTTCTTTTCACTTTGGATTTTGAAACACACCTTAGATAGAGTGAACCTTGACTCTACCAGAGAAAGTCTGGCGGCGGTCGGGCCTTGCATTGCCCTGGTCAGGCCTGAGAGTAAACATTTGGGGAAGCGGGGTGTGCTGTGGGCGTATGATTGTAATTTGAAACCATTATTCGTCGTCGTGGGGTCCGGGAAGACGGTTCCAGGTGGACCGGAGGGTACGTAGGATAGGTGCATACCGGGTTTTCCACCTGCCGCCTCCATTGTTGATAGTAAATTCATTAACAGCGTCAATCTAATTGTGAGGAATTGCTTGCTTAAGTCTGATCTTTTTAACTGTCTCTGTCACATTTAGTGGTGGTTTTAATAGTTGTATTCTGCATATTTTAGCACCCAAAAAGTGCATGTGCATGAAAAGTAGGCACCTTTCTAGCTATGTTTGGTCTCATCGAAGATGCACTGTGGAAGTAGATCATATCTTCTTCCACAGGGTATGTCTGGTGACATGTCCTCCATCCAAGTCAAAAATTTATGACTGTGCATGAGGCTGATACACCATGTAAAAATATTGTGATGATATGCACATGAGAAATTCATGAAATTGTGTCTGTCTTCTCAGAGCCAAATTGTCCGCCTTTGAATTGTGGGACATGTGTTTAGGCCGAGTGGGCAGGTGGTTAACACATCACCCTCTCAAGTGGTGGGCGTCAGTTCCAATCGTAGTGACAGCAGGGTCCTTTCACAGCGTCATTGGTATGGAGGAAGTATACTGAATGCTTATGCTGGGATGCAACATAGTTTTGTCAACAGTACCAGATAAATTCCATAGAACAGTGTTCTAAATTGACACTGTTCAGCTCCTGCAAGCAACAATGACCACTTTTGTCTCCAAAATTCAGGATGAGAGGGTGAATTTGGGTTTAAGATCATCTTGCAAGTCTTTTGTTATATCACCAAGCAATTGAACAAATAGGTTATGTGAGCAACTTTGCCTAACACAATTCTAAACCTATTTATACACTAAATTCTGCACTCATGCATTCTGTCATTTGCCCTTGCATCTTATCTTCCCTCTTCCTCCTTGAACCCAACCTGGAGCCTTGTTGCAGTGGCTGCCCCTGACAGACCACAAAATGTTATTTTTTGATTAGGCTGAGAGGGGCACACATGATAAGTGTTTTGTCAATTATGTCTGTAACTTCTCTAAACATAACAAAAAATTGCATGTCTGGGTATAAGAAGGGCCGAGATTCAGATCAGCCTTTGGTCAATTATTGTTTTGTCCCATTGTTATAAACATCATATTTAGTCATTTGTTTGACTAATCAAGGACCAACACCCAACAATAGCTTCCCATGACATATCAGTATGCTTAGGACAAGGTTGAACACATTTGGGACACTACAATAACTTGTTGGTTTGATTTCCCAGGGATGTTACAACTGACTTCAGATATGTAACCTTGAGCGCATGTCACACACATAAACACACAATGCACGTATCCTGAACCATGCTTGGACTGCATGCGATCACTGCTACGACTTTCTCAGTTCTTTTTTGTTAGAAAATCATTCAACCAAACAGTCATACACAATGGATATTATGAACTCCTGAGACATCAGCATGTGATGTAATATTATGCACTCCTGAGACATCAGTATGTGATGTAATATTATGCACTCCTGAGACATCAGTATGTGATGTAATATTATGCACTCCTGAGACATCAGTATGTGATGTAATATTATGCACTCCTGAGACATCAGTATGTGATGTAATATTATGCACTCCTGAGACATCAGTATGTGATGTAATATTATGCACTCCTGAGACATCAGTATGTGATGTAATATTATGCACTCCTGAGACATCAGTATGTGATGTAATATTATGCACTCCTGAGACATCAGTATGTGATGTAATATTATGCAGGTTTTTAACTCCATAATCAGGCAGATAGCCCTGATTATCTGTGCAGTGCAAATGCCAAAGTCCTTCACTATGTCCTGCTTCATAATGCCCACCTGTGTAGAAGTATTTGGTGTCTCAGATCTTCACATATCTGGCTTCACTGCTGAGCTGTATTTGCATGCATGTGCATGTGTGCAACTCACATTCTATAGAGGTTTCTAAAGAGGTGTTCATCATTGTTATCCAGACATTAGAAGACAGCTGGTGTCTGTGCCTGTTTTTCATTATTTGTTTCATAATCATCAGCAGAAGTTAAACTTTAAAGACAAAAATAAGCTACCAGTCACCACCGCAATCAGCGCACTATAAACTCCAATAAACAACAACAGAAGTTCCATCAGTGCCTCCACAAATCGTTGATTGATTGTTTGACATATCAGCTCAATATACCTCTTTGATCCTTGCAGTACTCTGCTGTTAATAATGACACTAGTTGGCGATCCTTTAGTGACATGCGATGCTAGTGCCATAGAGGCTCTTGGAATCAATGTCCGGCCATGTTTATCTGCCATGAATCTGCGGGTCTGACACATGCATATAGAAACCTGACATATGGTGTCCAGGATTAGAAAGAGAATATGCTGAAGCATTCCCCCACGACCATCCTCGATTCGTTAGGTCGCGACTGCCATGTACCAAGTCGCAAGTTCGATCTTGATCACCATTCTGATGCCTGCCATCACGCTACAATATTCATTATTACGGAAACCGATGCCTTCCCACAGCTGTGTAAATCGCGTGGTCTGGCCGAAGTCTCCCTCAGCCTCGAACCGGCGGCGCGGCCATGGCGAATCCAGCCGAGGTAAGTGTGGCAGCAGGCTCGTGAAGCCCCTTCCGGATCCGGGCGTGAAGAAGGCTGCATTGTGAGCCCGCGGACAGGACTGACGTCGGCCGGCCCGGACTGGGGTGTACCAGGCCATCACCTGACCCTCTTTGGGGGGGGGGGGGGGGAGAGGGTCATGTAGCTGCTCATCAATTGGCCCTTGCCTGAGGGTAGGGGAACGTGTTATAAGTTGTCCCGATCTGGGACGTACGCATTGTATGTTTGCCTCATACAGTGCAGCTGTATGAGGGTCTGTATGCAGCTATCTGTATGCAGCCGCAGAGTAAGCACCTGCAGGCACGAGTTGTAGCGAGGCGTATGTTGGTTGATCGTTTCCTTCCTCATCATCTAACATGTGGAGCTTTCTTCACGCAGTTTGTCTTGCTTGTCGTTTGTGATTATTTACCTTTCTCCCATATTGATGGTGGCGGTGATATGAAGTGTAAGTTATTTGGTAGGTCATTATTCTTTAAAACTGAGTGGCTGCACTAAATGGTAACACCCAATGGATGAGCGGGCCGTTCTTGCCCCGCGTCGTTGATAAGGGTCCTATCAATGCGGCCTGTCACGTCGCGTCCCCTCCCCCCCCCCCCCCCCCTGCCCCGGCTGATATCTGCTGTGTTTTTGTACGCTTACGAGACGAGGATATGTTGCCATTACAAACTTCCCGCAATGTAATATGTTTTTAAAGGTGACTCCTCCTCTCCCTTCGGTTAGTTCCTGCCAGGTGTTTCCCGAAGTTGGGTGGAACGCCAACAACATTGCTCATTGAAACCACTGTCTTCGCTTCGGTCTCACTGGGCGCTAACGTTCCTTGGTCGGTTTGTGCCTGAACATGATCTTGTACGTTTGTCCTTTCTGATGAACGTTTCAAATGTTGTGGCTTTAACGCCTTGATCTGTTTGCTAATCGGCAATTAAGCTGCAAGGCGATTTATGTGTGATTGATTTTAACTCCAATGAAGGCACCTGCGTACATACGGATTCGAGTGTTTGCATTCCTGTCCTGTACAACGTGCCCAGCCCTCACGAGAGGCTTACACAGGTGAAGCTCGTGTGGACCTATCACTGCTGGTGGGCCCTTCCGGTGCGGTGTGGTGGCTTCACGTATGCGGCGGCCCTGTTTCAGCGGCGGCTGCAGAAGGAGCTGATGAACCTGACCACTGAGCCGCCGCCGGGCGTCACCGTTAACCCAGAGGAGATCGGTGACAACCTCTCGGAGTGAGTGTGTTGCGCCACATCTAGTGACGCACTCCGTACTTCTCCATCTGATGTTGCACTTGCGACGGAGCGATAGCAGGACCCAGGCAGGCGGGCACGCGACAACGGCATCGGCCTTATCCGCTTCCTTCTCGGCACAACAACAGGGAAAGACTGCCGAGATACCGGGCCACGTCAGACGCCGGCGAAAATGCGAGCAGAATAGGGCATTCGTTTATTGCGCTGCGTGTTTCGTCTTAAGTAACGGGGGGTATTAGGCCATCTACGGAGACATGGAAATGAGACTGCGAAATTAATAATTTAAGAAACTGAAAAACTGACAATGTCGCCGGAAGTGAGAACAATGCAAACAGAGACGCCCCAATGCAGAAAAGGTCAGAATATGCCCGTAAACGCTTACATGTTCAACTTGGTTGACGCGCCAGTAACGAAAACGCCACCGTCGGGCGCGTAGGAGCACCGCAAGTGGGTACCACCTACCATTTTTGCGGTCACTGTCACACGGGCACCCTGTATGCCACAACGGTCACACTTGATGGCGTGCCCTTACCCCTCCGAGTGAGTGTCACACGTGATGACATGCCTCTGCCTCTCCGAGTGAGTGTCACACCTGATGTTTCCTTACCCCTTCGAGTGAGTATCACACCTGATGTTCCCCTGCCTCTCCGAGTTAGATCACACCTGATGTTTCCCTACTTATCCGAGTGAGCGTCACACCTGGTGTTCCCTTACCCCTTCGAGTGAGTATCACACCTGATGACGTGCCCCTACCCCTCCGAGTGAGTGCCACACCTGATGACGTGCCCCTACCTCTCCGAGTGAGTGTCACACCTGATGACGTGTCCCTATCTGTCCGAGTGAGTGGCACAATCTCGACACCACAGCTGCGACAGTCAATTTGAAACACATGGGTCCGGCGCGTCAGTTTTAATGCTTTATTGGTGAGCCTCCGTCCCTAAAAAAAAAAAAATGTTGCGCACGTGTGACATAACGGTGAATTGAATGCGATCTGCGTTTCGGATGTCTGTCTGTTGGGGCACGATGCGTGGTTTCCGGCATTTTCGCGTCACGCGACCTGTGCCCTTCCCTATGGCCTAGCAGCTCGTCGGGGTAACTAACCTGACCCCACGTGGCCTCGCCCTGGCTCCCCGCTGCGACTGGACAGTCACGGTGGCTGCTCTAACGTGTTTGACCGTTTGGCCCCACAACATAGTGTGTGATCTCGTCTTCCGTGACCTTGTGTGTGTGACATGACCCCCGCCCTGGCACTGCTCAGTGACTACCTGTCCGTCGCCCCCTCCCTCTGAGGTGGCCCGATCTCTTGTGACCTGACCTCTTGTGACCTGACCTCCGCGACCCACCGCAGCGGGGCATTGCGTGGCCGGTGCCTCCTCGCGCGTGACCTGACCGCAGTGACCTGATGTGTGACCTGACCGACGCGTCTCGCCGCAGCTGGACGGTGACCGTGGCCGGCCCGGCGTCCTCGCTGTACGAGGGCGAGACGTACCGCCTCAACTTCCGCTTCAGCCAAAAGTACCCGTTCGATTCGCCAGAGGTAACGTATCTCCACGTGTCTTGCGACGGCGGACGTCTTCAAACCTGTGGGTGGGGATGGGGGATGGGGAGGGGGTCAGGGAGAGGTGCAGTCTGCAGATGGGACAGAGCTGTGTTGTCGAGGTTCGCGCTGATATGGATACGTATTGGCTGGAAATCGACGGAATTTCATGGCGGTTTTGGACAGCTGTCAGTGCGTGGTAGGGTAATTTCCGGTGTATGCGTTTTTGACGTGCACTTTCGGTGCGCCGCTGCATCAGTATCGTCGCCTTGAAAGCTGGCATGTTTGTGGACCGTCAGGCTGGAAAGGGAAAATCACAATAACATCAGTAAATCATATTCGGGCGGCACAGCTGAGTGAGCCCCAGTATGTCTGCACACCGCAACGCTCCTAGCACCTAAGTTGGCGCGCGGCAAACAGGCCAAAGTGATCTTGGTGCAAGGGAGAAGCTGTATTTGCGCGGCGTAACAATTCGTATTCGTATTCGTATTCGTAGTGGGCGGCGCGGTATTTTTTGACGACAGGGCTAAAAATGTATATTTGGATTTATTTACTTTATAGTTGAAGGTAACATGTAAGAAAGAACATTGGTTGTATTTGGCAGCGATAATACGAACGGAAGTTTTAGCGTTTGATGTAGTTTGATCAACTCGGCGATAAAGTTTTCCGAACCTCTGGGGAACCGGGAAAGCAAGCTTGATTGAAATCATTAGAAGCTGCCAGGTTTTGGGGGCGGGGTGGTCAGCAGGTGGGGAATAGATGACGTAATCGGCGCGATCGCCGTGCCGAAGCCACGTGAGTCGGCCCTGGAGATCCGCAATCTGTGGCAGCCTGTCTGCACGGTCCCCGCCAGTGGGAGGTGTTGCCCTTCGCCTGGTGTACTGGCGCAGACGTCGGTAGGCTGACGAGTGCTGGAGCGCTGCACGGCCTCGCGCCCGGTGCGCCTGGAGACCCGCATTAGCGTCCTGGAGCCATGTGGTGACTGCTCGACCAACCATGCTCTGTTCTCCAAAGATCAAGGCGTGTCCGAGAAGCTCGATAAATCCCGCGCACGACGTGGGTGCGTCGGGGACTGGTCGGCCGTTGGCAGAACGATTAGATCCAATCGAAATTGTGGATTGCGACATTGTTCAAGTACTGTTGATAGTGGAAGTGCAGCAGCACGTGCATTTTCCGTTGAGGTGTGGATGAGCGGTGTCCTCCGGGTGCGCACGTGTTTTGACTCGTCTCTCTGACTCTATTTGACTCGACTGGCTCACATCAAGGGAACGCAGTACACCTGGGAGGGGTTGTATATCCTCCCATTGTCAGAGGATGTGGCAGTAAGTGGAGTGGACTTTCTGGCTTGCTTTTCGTGTGCGATTGCTACCTTTATAGAGATTGTGTATCATTAAGCCTGAACGGCCGTATCGCTCCGTCTCGCCCCTCCGCGCCCTACGGCGTCGGGTTTCTGCGCCGCTAGATCCGGTAGCCGTTGTGACACCACTGTGGCGAGACGAAAGTGTTCACCGGGCTGGAACGGATCTGCGATGCCACCTAGTGGACAAGCGACTAACTTGTGCTCGGTCTCTGCGCCGCCAGGTGGTATTCCTGCGCCCCAATATCCCCGTACATCCGCACATCTACAGTAACGGCCACATCTGCCTTTCGATCCTGACCGAGGACTGGTCGCCGGCGCTCTCCGTCGCCTCCGTCTGCCTCTCCATCACGTCCATGCTCTCTAGCTGCAAGGACAAGGTGAGTGCTGCACGCAGCCTACCGGACTGAGTCCGGCGTGTGTGTGATGGTGACGCCGGAGCTAGGGCTGCCAACGGCTGGCATTGCATTGTGTCCGAGAATGCAGCAGTTAATGGTAAGACGTGGACCGTAAGAAGACCAGCAGAAGTGCGGAATTAGGACTCAGATTCACGGCGCGGTGTTCTTCCTCGCAGATTCGCAGCGATGTCTGTATCCGCCTAGGCTTCACCCCGACCCAGCCCCCCCCCCCCTGCCTTGCTCCTGTAACCTCCCCACCCCTCTCCCGGCGTCCAAGGGGTCCAATCGAGCTGAAGGGAGGCTGATCGCTTAATGAAACAAGGAGAAAAGTCCTTTGAAAGAGGGCTGCAGCTCAGCTTGGGCAGGAGATTGTGCCCGCATCATTTCCATGGATGAGGACAATGGCACATGCCTGATGCTCTATTTGAAGACCTCTGGCGCAACCGTATGTGATCCATGCAGTCAATCAGCAGTTGTGGCTAGTGAGAGGTAAGGGGCCACTATGCGTCACACTAGTGGCGATGGGGTAACAGTCGTGGGGTTCAGTCGCTTTTGTCAATGTGCGGATTACCATGAGGCACACGTGGAACTTAGCAGACAGGACAGTTGCGCCCCCACAGGCCGAAAAGCACTATCTATATGCAGGTCTGCGGGTATTGGTGCGATGTGGAGACTTGCAAGCGATCTGAATCATGTGGTTACAGTGATCCCATCCCCTCCCCAGGGCATGCAGGATGACCACACAATTCCTGGCCATCGCCTGTCGCCAGCAGCGGTCTCCGTGCGGAATCTCGAGCTTGCTCTGCGACGAAGCGCAGGACTTACGGCGTTTGTACTGGCGCAGGCGCGTGGCGGGATGCCCCGTACAGTTGTCCTGTTATGCGTGTCCTGTTGGCCGTGGTGTTTGCTGGGCTTACGTGCTGCCGTGTCCTGTTGGCTGGCGGGTGTACTGGTCTCACGTGCCGCCGCTGTCCTGCTGCCTAGCGGGGTACTGGTCTCACGTGCCACCGCTGTGTTGCAGAAGCGGCCGCCAGACGATGCCTTCTACGTGAAAACGTGCAACAAAAACCCCAAAAAGACCCGATGGTGGTATCATGGTAAGAAAAGTGCCGCTGGCAGCTGACCTCTGATTGACAGCTAGATGGGCGGTTACACTCGTGCTGCTTTCGGAGCGTTAAGATGGTCGCCCAGCGCTTTGCTTCGCGACATCCGACAGCGTGCTTTGGTTTCATGCCGACATCTTGTTCGTTTCGCGCTTTGGGATCATGCCGACATCGGTGGGTTTGGAACCGTCTGCCGGGACTTGCTGGAATGGTCTGATAGCTGCGGTGGAGAGGATCTCGAGCGCTGACGCAACGCACCCTCCTTTTCCAGATGACACAGTGTGATGCTAAGCGGGCCTAGTGTCGCGGTCGCTTGTCTGTGATGGTGGCGCCTCACCGCGGAGGACGAGTGACATTGCCGGCCGGCCCGTGAGCGAGCCTTTCCGTGTGCTTGTCCAGCTTTAATGGAGCGCCAGCTCGTCAGGCGGCGCCGGCCGCCGGGCCCTCTGCTGGCCTCTGGCACGCGGCGCCGGCCGCCGGGCCCTCTGCTGGCCTCTGGCATGCGTGCGGACAGACACCCGGCCGACTGGGCGGCGCTCTGTGTACGCGGTCCACCGGCGGTCGGCCCGGCGCGAGGCCCACCCGGACGGGGCGCCGGCCGCCCGCACCGCGTCGGCCTGTAGTGAGTTTAATTATCGAGTCCCATCGGGCGCTCGCCCTGTTTGCCTTAGGCTCGTTGCACGCTCAGCGCATGCCGCGGCATGGTAGCCATTCCTCGATAGGCCTATTTTATTTTCTTACCTGTGCAAGTCACCCTCTGCACGCGAGTGCTGGGGCGTCGTCGCCCGCCGGTCAGGGCACGGTCACTCGCCCAGGCGCTGCTGGCGCGGTCAGGTCACTGCTGGACCGCGCCGCCGCCGGGGGCTAGCGAGTCGGAGTGCCCTGAGGGAAGTCAGGCTTGGTTGCTGTGTGTTAAATATTTGTTGTTTCACGCGGTTTGTGGTGAACCCGGTTTAGCCCGTGAGGGAAGTTGTATTCTGGCAATCACGCATTGGACTTTGAGGGATTTTAATACTTGAGATAGCGTTTAGTAGTGTGATTTCAATACATGGCGAGACAATTCCAGCATGGTGTGGTTCGGGTGCGTGCCATATCTCAACCCAGCCGAAACGTTGAAGTGTGTTCTTCCTCGAACCCATTCGCCCATCAACTTGATTCTGCATTCGACACGTGCGACCATGAAGAAAACCGTGTCCTCGTGCGGAAGACGCCGTGCGCTGCCAGTCACTTTCATCTTCAGCCTTCAGTGGGTCAGCCTTCCCGTCTCTCGTTGAGCTCCCGTGTTCTCTGCGCCACTTCTTCGAGTGAAATCCGCTTGCGACAATCGCCGCAACACCCCTTGCGATTTGTAGCTTTGCGACTGCCGGGTTATTATGGGGTGCCGTGACAGCTACGCTGATTGCGTTTGTCAGGCATGTGCGCTCGCCCACCGCGATGACCATGTGCTGCACCTGAGTCCGGCCGTCACCGGAGCATTCTTGTGTCTGTGTGTCAACAGAGCACCTCTCTCACATAGTCCAGACTGTACATTTCAACTGGGCGTTGCCATTGATCCCACACAAACTGCGGCCACTTCAAAACGACTTCTCGGAGTCCGGGGTCACAGAAGTGATCTGACGCCTCGTGTACTCCGTCTGACAGGGTCAGCACGTTGGGGCATGGTGCTGCGCTGGGGTACGCCGGATAGCACGGGTCCTCAGGCTGCCCCCTGCTGGGAGACGTCCCGCCATACCGGTGCCTGCTGAGGGCCCGCGTGAAGCGACCACCTGCTGGGAGAGGTTCCGCCACATCTGTGCCTACTGAGGGCCCACGTAAAGCAGCCACCTGCTGGGAGAGGTCCCGCCACCGGTGCCTGCTGAGGGCCCACATAAAGCGGCCACGTGCTGGGAGAGGTCCCGCCACTGGTGTCTGGTGAGGGCCCACGTAAAGCGGTCACCTGCTGGGAGAGGTCCCGCCACTGTTGCTTGCTGAGGGCTCACATAAGGCTGCCACCCGTTAGGAGAGGTCCCGCCACCGGTGCCTGCTGAGGGCCCACGTGAAGCGGCCACCTGCTGGGAGAGGTCCCGCCACCGGTGCCCGCTGAGGGCCCACGTGAAGCGGCCACCTGCTGGGAGAGGTCCCGCAACTGGTGCCCGCTGAGGGCCCACGTAAAGCGGCCACCTGCTGGGAGAGGTCCCGCAACTGGTGCCTGCTGAGGTCCCACGTGAAGCGGCCAGCTGACCATCTGCACCAGAGGAACAACATTGGAGTTTGTATTTACGTTGCATGAGTGACCTGGCCACCAGCCGCTCTGGTTCACCAGCTCGTTCTGCGGTATATACGAGGACCATGTGGCAGAATAGAACTTTCATAGACTGGGTGCTGACAGGACGCGGAATCTGAGGCGATCCACACCACGATTATCCGCTATCTACTCATCAGTGGCGTTTATGTAAAAATGGCGAGTAAAATGTACCATTTGTTGTCCCATATCCGCGCAGGATGCAATTTCGAAGGGTTTAACTTGTAGAGTTATTTTGTGCAGCTTTGCGTCTTTCAGAAATCTGCCCATTTTAGTATGTCGAGGGGTGCAAGCAGCGTTGGGTGGGAAGGCCATTCAGACAAGTGGTAATCGGTGGGGACCCAGGTGCTAGCTTGCTTTTGGATGGAGATAAAATAGGCGGAATCAGTCGGGTTTTGTGTGTGTCAGGCAGGATCAGTAGATTTACGATGTGTAACAGAGAGTTCATAAAACGTTGCGCTCATGCACAGACTCGCGGCCTAAATTTCATGAAGGGGGGGGGGGGGTCAGACCATAGGACTCTTCTTAGTAAAGCCAAAGCAGATCGCGAATTCAACTCGTTTGAATGTATTGGTTTAATTGATAATCTCACTTCATTTTCGAATCCAGTGTGCACTGATTTTAAACCCCCATCACAGGGCACGTACGGCGGTAAAATATCACAAAATTGTTGACCTGAGGGGAGGGAGTAGGCGGTATTCCCTCCCTGACTGTGTGCACGATCAGGTATGATTCCAATCAAATATCTTCAGAAAGTATGATTGTTACCGAGTCAGAATTCACTCGAGCATGTTTGCCGCAATCAGCTTGATGTGTCTTTTGGCACGAATGATATGAGTCGACTTGCACAGTAATATTGTTCTCAGTAATATTGTTATCAGTCTCATCGGCCCAGCGGGGATTCATTGAAGTGTTTTTAACTGGAATCAGACGTTACTTGACTTAGACATGGAAATTACATGTAATGTCCCATTTCGACACCAAGCGGACACAATATATTCAACCATTGATGACGTCTGTCTTATTTTGGAAAGTATTCTAATATGAACCCGCCGGCAGGCGCAATACCGAACGCATGATGTTCTCGGCTGTTGTCATTCGAACCGACTCACTTGAAACTGTTGCCAGAACCTACATCTCCTAATAACACATGTGTCGGGATGTGAGAAGGCACGGGGGTCTATCAACATCCGGTGGGTCACATCCTGTGGTCTCAGACCGCGGCCGGGTGGAGCGGGATGCTGGTCTCGGACCCGTCCACTCCCGTCAACACCAGGTTGTCCACGGCGATGGCATCCAGCTTGTGGTTGCGTCGGAAGCCGAAAATGCAGATCTGTCGAACAGAGTGCGGCCTCGGTCACCGTCACCAATGAACTATGTGACGCATGCGTGCAGCGGGGGTCTTTGTTCACTCATGGAATGATGCCCTCACGACATGCATGCCCGTATATCGCGCAGGTGGCCACCAAATCTGTGGAGTCGGATCGCGGTACTCGGCATTGGCCTTTGCGTGGGTGTGTGACTCAAGGTGGTGCGTGAGGCGTGGTGACTCAAAGTGGTGCGTGCGGCGTGTGACTCAAGGCGGTGCGTGCGGCGTGTGACTCAAGGTGGTGCGTGCGGCATGTGACTCAAGGTGGTGCGTGGGGCGTTGTAACTCAAGGTGGTACGTGGGGCGTGTGACTCAAGGTGGTGCGTGGGGAGTGTAACTCAAGGTGGTGCGTGGGGCGTGTGACTCAAGGTGGGTGCGTTGGGGTGGTGGCGTGGGGGCGTGTGACTCAAGGTGGTGCGTGGGGCGTGTGACTCAAGGTGGTGCGTGGAGCGTGTGACTCAATGTGGTACGTGGGGCGTGTGACTCAAGGTGGTGCGTGGGGTGTGGAACTCAAGGTGGTGCGTGGGGCGTGTGACTCAAAATGGTGCGTGGGGCGTGTAACTCAAGGTGGTGCGTGGGGCGTGTAACTCAAGGTGGTGCGTGGGGCGTGTGACTCAAGGTGGTGCGTGGGGCGTGTGACTCAAGGTGGTGCGTGGAGCGTGTGGCTCAAAGTGGTACATGGGACGTGTGACTCAAGGTGGTGCGTGGAGCGTGTGACTCAAGGTGGTGTGTGGGGCGTGTAACTCATGGTGTGTGGGGCGTGTGACTCATGGTGGTGCGTGGGGCGTGTAACTCAAGGTGCTACGTGGGGCGTGTAACTCAAGGTGGTACGTGGGGCGTGTAACTCAAGGTGGTACGTGGGGCGTGTGACTCAATGTGGTGCGTGGGGCGCGGACCTCTTCGCACAGTGCGTGAACACCTGAACTACGCGCTAACGGATGACGTCTAGAGCCGCCATTTAGGCGATAAGCTGTGGCGCCTCAGGTAACAAGCCGAAACACAAGTCGAGTAGTCAAGTTTGATGAGGACGTCAGGATGACCTGACTAGGTCATGCATACCTTCCAAAAATGATGGCATATTTTCTCGCTCGGAGGGTGACATGCGTCGATGTTGAGTCATTAAGCGGGTGTGGGAGTCTTCTCGGTCTGGCTTACCCTGGACTGGGTAGTCTGCGACGCCGGCACATCAGCCTCGGCCTGACGCCACTCGTTGTTGTCGGGTGTGGCGTAGGAGGAGAGATCGAGGAACGGGTTCAGCTCCTGGCCGCCCTCCACCCTCTTCAGGATCAGGTTAGCTGCTCCGATATACATCGACCGGATCCAGTAGCTCAGTCTGCGTGCATCGACCGGTTGTTTGAGAACGAGTTATCGTTATGCTCGCCAACATTCTAGCAACAACCGTACATGCACTGTGCAGGGCTCGAGGATTCTTGACTATGAAGATTCCGTTGCTCGGCGCGAGAAAATGCAAGCATAAATTGCTCGCTTGCGTAAATGATGCGCTACTAGGGACAAACGAACCACTGCTGTCGTTTGTAAGCCCGTTTTGGAGTTGCGCTTTGAGTGTTTCCCTACTCGAGCAAGGCAAATTCGCTGTACGCTCCGTTCTCGGCCCCCAAATCCCGGCCAGGGAGTCCCATACCTCCTGTTGCAACACGCCCCAGTTCGGATCATGCGCGGCGCACGATCACGGCCGGGCCACCCCCGACCATGCTATGCCACAGATGGAGAACGGCACTGTGGTCATTACTTGATCTTGGCTCCGGCCGGGAAGGTCAGCAACGGACTGTAGAGATGGGCAGCCGCCGAGTCCTTTCCCTCGTTGGGGAAGACCATGGTGACGCCCGAGTCGCCGTCAGGTCTCTGCGGCATGTCCAGGTCGGAGGCGTTCCTCCAGAGCTGCGGCGGAGCGCCTGCCAGCGTTAGCAGGGTAGGAGGGCCTGGTGGGGTGAGGTCGGGGCGTGTAACACACAGACAGCCATGAACGTGACGCACAGATGTGCGGCCAACGCGGCTGATAGCTTCATCAGGCTATTGATCAGGCTATTGTTGTCTCAGAGTGAGCTTTAGCCAGCTTTAGCGAGATCGCGGTGACTTTAGCGAGCTTCGCCGAAGTCGTCACAACCTCGGGAGGCTGCCTGCTGGGTGTGGTGCTGACACGGAATTAAGAACGGAATTAATCGTGACGTAACAATCGATACGATATAAGGTAAGTTCATACCTTCACCAATGTACGTTATCTAGATAGCATAACCGCACCACCTTCTTGCTTCCTGTGTTCCGCTAAAGCAGTGAGCATGCCTGTCCGCCAGAGGCGGTCCGTGGAGACAGCAAATACGCCGTTTGACCCCGTTTGACCCAACATCACATGCTATCTAAAACTGCATAGGGTGTCGAAGAATTACGCGGACAGTAGTTATAGATCACCAACAGTGTTGTCGTTACGTTTCTCTAGATTTTGCTCTAGCACGCCAGTCGTATGATCACCAGACTGCTCGTTCTTCAAAGGCTGTGAAACATGGCAAACAGCCGAGCTTGACAAGGAATAGCCTTCCTTGTAACTATCCTCAAATCACAGCATGTTGTAGCGTAATTTTACCATTTTTGGCGCGTCCAATATAGTTGGGCGATTTCTCTGTGAGATTAACCCACCCAGTACACCCTCAAAGCATTAGTATTTGTCAAATTGTGTCCTGGGGCTGTTTGTGCCGGTCAGGTGGAGCCTGATAATTCTATTTCAGTCAAGTTGAGTGGTCAAAGTTATGAAAAGTTACAAAAAAGTTAGAAAAGTTACAGCCTGAGGCAAGTTGGAAGTCGCTTGTGACATAGGGTGTGTCAAGTGCGCTTTTCACTGCCACGAAATGTAGTAAACCCATCACTATTTATGTTCTGACTCTCCATAAAGCCCAAAATGCGAATTCGGAGCTTTTGTGACCTTGGGTCATGATTACGAAAAATACGCGTGAACTTAGGCCAAACGTCACACGATGTATATCAATGGCTTTGAAAGTAAGAATTTGTGTTTGCACAAGATAAGCATCGATGTGTTTTCTTCATGACTAGTCCATGAAAACGGGGTTTTATCTACATGGTCCTGCGATCGATCATGGTAGCAGGCCATGTCCGGACTAAAGTTGACCAGTGTTAGAACTTTTAGCAGTGGTCTGCTCCAGTGACAAGCTCGGTGGGTGATGACGGCATGTATGTTTCGCATGTAATGAATGGTCATTTCTTATCAAAAGGTGAACCAATCAACAACTTTGAACACCATCGGGGAAGTGGGATGAGGCTGTAATAATGTGCATAACACACACAGCACACGCATCGCCTGTGAGTGGTACTGCTGACATGAAAACTGGAAGTCTCCGACCGACCGTAACATATTTCCAGATAAGTGCTTTCAAATGCACATTTGATTGAATCTATGTACTCATGTAAATTAGTTGGGAGGAATAGGATCCCGCAGTCTCATCAGCAGCGACATGAATCGCTCAACTTCTGGTAACAACGCACACTAGTTTCGGATTCGCTACCGCATATGCATGACAATGAGATATTTACGGTATTCCAATCACGTGCCGCTAGCATGCTGTTTCACCTGGTGTTCTGCTGTCCTAAATTGAAAGTGAAAAGTGTCTCGGCAATGAGATCCTTCCTTCGCGACGGAATGGAGCAGTCGGGTTTCGGGTTTCGCTTCACGCTCGAAGGTACGGTGACTAGTTGCAGTCCGCAGCCGACGACGGGCGGCGACGCGGTTGGCGTAGTCATTCTGAACCACATAAAGCAAAGGTGCATAGGGCGCTTCGAGAGGCTGGGGAAAACCTCATCAATGAAGCTAAAAGCCTTACCGGTGAGGGAGAGCTTTTGAAACAAGTCAAAACGCTGAACGTGCTTGTCCATGTTCATGCTTTCTTCATTCTCCAATCCATCCCCACTGCCCACCCTCCAAAGCCGGCTAGCTCCATTGGTACAGCAGTGTGCTCCCGATCACGGGACTCCGGTTCGAATCCCCGCAGCTGCACGGTGGCGTAATCACACAATGGCGTATCGAGGAGAATATGAACTAAGCAGACAAATTGTAGCGTCTAGAGCAGTATTTTCAACTTTAAAGTTATACGTGAGCTTGTTTCATCATGTCTGATGCCTGCTTCAAAATCTTCAAGTATTCCCTTTAACATAGGTTAAATAATTGGTCAGTGCAATGGAAGATGCGCATTTCATTTCATCAAGTGCGTTTTCGTTCTTGCTACTGGTTAAGGTAACCACTGAATTATACTGTGGTCAAAAGTAATAAAATGGGGCAATCTCAGCTCAAGCATGGCCGGTCGACATGTAATACGCTTTTAAGGTCCAAGGAGATAAAACCACACTGATGCCATGACTTTATTGTTAACCAGAAAGCAAGGGGATTATCTTGAGGAAACCAAAATTCTTACTTTCGAAGCCGTTGTAGGTCATTGCGTGACCTTTGACCTACGGTCACGCCGTCATTCTTTGAAATAGTGAATTAAGGTCAGAAAAGCTTCAATGGGTATCTTTTGCTTCATAGTGCAAGAACATGGATAGTTGGATGTGTTTGTCAGTTAAAATGGCAGATAAAAGCGGATTTGAAACAACCCATGTCGCACGGCACCTCCAACTTGCCCTAGGCACTAATTTTTTACCCCTCGACCTGAACAAATTAAAATCGTCAGATTCAGCTTCAGCGCTGCTCATAACGCTGTGTTGCAATTTTGAGGTAAACTCTTGATTTGAGGATGTAAAATTTGGCAGTGGGGGAATCGATCTCAAAAAGGATGACTCAGTTGTATGTTTGATGTTATTTAGGATGCATCTAACTAAAGCCCCGCCATTGCCATGCTGGCCCGGTTTTTTTTTTGCTCTGCACTCAGGGGCGCACGCAAGGTGGAGCACAGGAGCTACGTACATCCCCATCTTAGGCGTCGAGGGATCTCCAAATCCCTGGGACCGACGATCAACGACCCGATTTGAGGGCCCAATGGGCCTGAAGGGATGACCGGAGGTCGTTCTCAGGGGCACGAAACTACGGTCCGAGACCCCAAATGTCAGTCAGAGGGCCTCTTGCAGCAACTGAGTCTCCTGGGATAAGGCAGGCTTCTACGTCAGCTAGAGACCACCGACACTGAGCAGTCGGTTGCGTACAGTCGGGATTTCCTAAGCATAGACAAGGCCGGGGCCCGCAATTCACCTTGTCCGGGGCCCCTGAAACAATTGAGGATCCCCTGTGTCGGTCAGGGAACCACAGTGCCCTACCGGAGGTCAACTACCGGCCATCAACGCCGAACAATCGGCTCCCGGTCCATTTGGGCCTCAGGGGCTCATTTCCCAAGCATGCACAAGGCCGGGGACCGCGATTTACGTTGACAGAGGCCCCTAAAGCAATGAGGGGCTCTGTGTTGGCCAGTGGTCCGCGGTGCCGCCTAACAGGGGGTCTTGTATTGGCCACGTTGGGGTTCCCACTCAAAACCCCCTGAAAAACGCCCCAGGCAGGATGATCTCTTAGGGTAATGTGAGCATGTCAGTGAGATATTACATTCTTCTCGTTTTCTATACGTTTTCTGCACAAGTCTACTCGTTTTATCCATGAACCCACCTTTGATTCAATCCTGTACCAATCTTGGGATGAGGTTTAATCACATTCTGGGTCGACCAAAGTCACGCGAATTCAATCGCGAATTTGACGTCGGCGAACGCTGGATACCTGTAGTTGTTGCAAGTTCAAGAATATTAGTTTAAGATCTCCAAGCCATATTGGGATAGAGTTTGGGTAAAATCCTACAAGTCACGTCAGCACGTCAGGCCGGATGGAGTAAGCCAATTACATGATCTTTGAGATAGCTGAAACACCTTTCAATCCTTTCTTAGAATATTTCATGTCATTGGATTGTAACACAGCGGATCACTCAACTTTGCTGACCTGACCGCGGCTCTCGTTGGAGCCACACACGCGGAATGTCAAGTACTGCGTTGTGTCAACACTGACAAATGCTGCAATATCAAAATAAGACATCCGTCAGAATGATGTTAAAAGAGGTCAGAGCAGGTCCAGATCAAGTTAGGCCAGGTCGAGTAGGTCAGATCATTAAAGCGGATGACATTTTCTGTGCCATCCAAGACCCAGAAAGGACTTCCAGAAAGCATTGAAATATGAAAACACGAGGCTCAACAGTGTGCTTCTCAAGAAGAAAATATGACATTTATCGACCTTTGATAAAACAGGAAGTGCTGCTTAAATGCTGCTATCAAATTAATGTAGATAAGTACCAGTCATATTCAAGGAATGACATTAGGAGCATTCGATTTGTATGGGTATTAGTAATATAACTAAGGTAACTTGATAGCGTCGTTTAACTAGTACTTCCTGGGATATCGAAGGTCGGTAGCTGTCAGCATAAGATCTCTGATCTAATAACGCCAAAAAGTGAGGAGATCATGTTCTGACTTGCTTATGTCAAGTACAAAAGAACAATGGTACAAATTGCATCAGCTGTGATCTCGCCGCTGGCTAAGGGTGCTGAGAAGAGTTGGTATGGTGAGGCTACTGCAGTAAACATATTTCAGTAAAGAAGGGTGCTTTGTGGAAAGTTCATGAGACAGCTGCCATACTTGCCGCATTCCACGAACTTGGCCTGAGCTCACTTACTTTGGCGTGCGGCAGTTTTATCTTCAGGAAACTGCTGACATGCTGTCATTTTCGAACTGAACAAATTCCGTCAATGTGATGATCAAATAGTGACCTTTGCCGGTGTCAAAATTTAGAGACGGCGCAGCTGACGAAAATCCAGAACTCCACCGCGGCACGGGGAAGTCAATTTCGAAACAAACTGTTGGGCCGTCAGAAGGAATCCTGGGGTTGTTAATATCTTTGTTCCATGGATCACCATGGGCCCAATGTCGGAACATGAACGAGTTCGGAGCCAGTCATCCACACGCATAAAAAGGTCCCCTCCCACGATAGCTGTATATTTGGTATTAATCGGTTACGATTGGATAAATATGAAACGTTTTGATATAACAGGTCGGCCACCGAGTGGTTACACGATGGACAAGATTCTCAAAATGGTGCTTAACGTTAGTCGGACAACGTTCATTTCTTCTTCGACCATTCTCGAAGAAATGGAGGGGCTTTCGGGAGCCCCGCCCGCTATGGCTAGATCAAATGTACCCATTCAAGGCTGGAGCACGTGGTTTGTTAAATGGACGATGACCAATACGTTGATCCTCAGTATATAGCTTTCTGAATGATTTGGGATGGGTTAAGTGCTGCGCACTCAACTCGTAAAGTAAATCGAGCTTGGCATCGTACCTCCGGTCGTATATGTGAGACCCGACGGTATAATTCCCAACAATCGTATATTAACGGAAAAAGCGCATTACTCATACAACATACGACGGGCTGTTGAAAATTCATGAGCATTCCTCAGTGAGAATTTACGTAAGCAAACAAAGTTACTTATATGACTCACTTTTTACGCTGCTAAGGAACCGCCGCTGTGCGGACCAGCTCTGACCCAGTTAGACCGGGTGGCGGTCCGGTAATTGACGGTACTCATTACGCGGTCACGCCCTGACCCTGCTGGGGCGGGGCCGACCGGCCGCCGGGGTGGCCTGCCTCCGTTCCTCTCTGCGTGGGCCGGGACCCTTCCTGAGCTGCCTAGGGCCGGTTGGGGTATGCTGGCTGGTCAGCGGCGGCGCCCATTCGTGGATCGCTCAACTGGAATACGAGATCTTACAGAGGCATGCTTTAAGTGGCGCTGGAGAGCAGAGGAACGCACGGCGTCAATGGTAGTTTCTGCTGGAACAATGCATTGAAACTGACCCAGCGTTCCATCGCTCCCCAGAGCTGGGTGGCTCGCCTTTGTCCTTATCTGGCCCTTTACATTGTTTGCAAACAGACAGAAAGCCTCGCATGGAACGCAGTATCAGGCGAAAAGAGCCTACGAGGCTGCGATTCGCCGATGGTAAGGCTCTTCCTCCATTAAGTTGTTCGGCGATCTACCGGTGGTAAAGCTCTTCCTCCATTAAGCTGTTCGGCGATCTACCGGCGGCAAAGCTCTACTTCCATTAAATTGTTCGGCGCGTGATGTCAACGCTGGGAAGGCCAACGACAAGCATGGGTGGATACGGCAGCTGCGTGAGTTAGGAAGTGATATGCGTTTGAGGGGATTGGACGATAATGATAAATTCAAAGAGCATGACCTATACTGGAATGATCTCTCAAGCATCTGTGCATATCTGGCAGTTTCAGGCCCTGATAGTCTCAGTGACGTGGCATTGACATGTGGGCGTAGATCGCTTGTTCTTCACGCCCAACGTCTTCAGTGTTTGATTGCTTGCGGTGGATCCCCTCGGAAGCGTTGGGCTGCCATGGGAGTCTCGTAACCCATGACATTTGTGGCGGCCGTCGGACCATGTTGAGCCTATGCTCCAGCAGGAGGAACTCCAAGCTCCTCCGACCTTTCCAAGTTGTGGATCGTTGCCAATACAAGCTCTTAACTTTCTGTAGAAAGTATCGGACCGTCTTTGATTTTGCACACGATCATTTTGGTTCGTGCCTGTCGCGAGAAATAGCCCACATGACCCATGTGTGTCGAAACTCCCTGTCTTCTGCATTGGCATGCTACCTTTGTACAGATCAAGGCACACGAATCCTCTGTTCCAGTTGCGTTGGAATCGTAGAGCTAGTTACGACTTCCCTGTTGTGCAAAGACACTAACTCCGCCACCTGAGTGATCCGAAGCAAGTGGTTATTTAACCTCACCATGATTCAGCGACTGGACGCACAATGACCGAACACGGCGTGATAAGGCTCCCCTCGTCGGAAAAGACGATCGCCTCGAGGAAAGCTCCAGCCTGCGGTAGCTGTCAAATGTCCGTCTGGGATCCCAGCGCCCAGCCGTCTGACCGACGCGACGCTCGACCACGGGCAGATCACGTGGAGACCTTCTGAGCATGACTGAATTCCGAAACTGTTTGTTGTCAGGCGGACACCAGCGTTTTACGCTCCCATCCCGCATGTCTGCCGCCTGACATTCGCACGCTCGTCAGATCAGTGCTGCACTGTACGCCAGAGGCGGGGACCCATGCTGCCATCGATAGCAGACCGTGCGACCGTCGGCATCTGTTGAAAAAAACAGAGCTACGCGATGTCAGAGTTGTCTGTTCCCGACTATAAGGGGCATTCGCGACATGACATGCGAGTATGGACGCAAAAGCGGCTACTGCATTTCGACTTGACGTAGGCATAACCTCGGTAAAGTGTTTATACGGCAGCAGACATGACATTAACAGCTCCTCCCACATTTCAGACCGCCTTTTCCTTTCAGGACTTTCGTAAGTGCTCTGAGTTCGGAGAACGTCTCTAAGAGCCAGCGATTTGCCTTGCGCATGAACCTAATTTATGTGTTATGTTTTGAGCGCATAACCTTTACATCATGGGTAGTAATGCTAAACAGATATGGAGGCAACCTTGAGAAAGGCGTGGCATATAACTCTCCCAGATCCCGCAATATAAGAGTGTATCTGAGGCACCTAACTCCCTGTTGATCAAACTTCGACTACATCATGTCATCCTGTTTTTTTCTCCTCGTTCTCGGGCAATCGGGTGACCATGACTCGACGCACCAAACATTTCCATAATTACCATAGAGTCTGGATGATCTGAGAGGAATTTCACTGACCGTGGACAGCCGACGGACAGGTCCGATAAGCCGTCACTCACCCAGTGCCCGCCGTTGTCGTCTGACCAGGTCTTCCAGTTGCTGCCCATGCCGTTCTCGAAATTCTCGATGATGTCGGCCGCGCAGCCGGTCAGCATGCCGCTCAGCGTGCTGACCAGCAGCAGCGACAGCAGCCCGCTCCTCAGGGTCGCCATCTCGAGAGGCAGCCTTGAGCCTTGCTGACAGGTGTGCCGCCTGATCCGCCCCGTTCTGGACGGCTCAAGATCCTGCTCCGACGCGCTCCTAACAGCCCGAGCTTCGAGTCCGATCCACCCGACACTGTTACAGCGAACTTCAAGCACCTTGCTGTCCCGTTCCAGCGCACTTTCGCCGATGTGACGCTTGCAGGCCTGCTCTGAACACTTGGCCGCTGTTCCGACCGGATGCGGGCTGCCGCGAGCTGCTCTGACGGAAGGGAGGGAGGGACTAGCGACCGCCTGGGGAGGGCTTAAGTACCGGCCCCTATCTCACCTCCGGCACCCGCTCCGCCACCCGGCTGGGGTCGGCTGGCTCTGCTCCGGGGGCAGCACCTGGGACGCTCCCGCCCAGCTATCGGTCCCGGCCGGCGACGTGTCCTGTTTGCATCATGGTGGAGGCAGACGCTTCTGGGAGCGGGTCAGCTGGCGGCTTGGTGGCGTCACAGTGTCATCACCGATATCGGCACGGAGGGTCACTCGCAAATGTTGGGATTTTAAAGCTACAACCTGTCGCTTTGACATTCGATGTCTAGTGCGTCGGTTGGCACAGCGGTGGCGCACGAATCATTAGTTAATTCTGAACTGACCTTTCGGAACTGATCATTTTTATTCCTTGAAGCCGATCATGAGACGACCAAATGCCGTTGTTACAACAAGCATGTAGATGCACAGACACTGCTCCAAACAGAGGAGTACGAATGGTTTTAAAATGGAGGGGGGGGGGGGGGGGGGGTGAGGCGCATTTCAACCGCAGCTGAAACCGGCCACCTGCCACCGCAGCCATGCGCAATTGCTTGCGTGTCGCAAAACAACACTGCGTGTTCTCAAGCTTCCTATTTTTACGTGTCTACCCGTATTGTCTAGCTGTCAACATTCGGAGTCACATACATATTAGTACATTCCATACATGGGGTAAGGAGGGGGCACGTTCCCCAGCGGCTATTATTTGCGCACGCCCCTGCATACAAACGAAGTCAGGAACTAAGTCGGTGGACGTATGATGATGAACGGGACGCGACACGAATATGGTTACCGTTTCCGTGAAACGGCTTTGCACGAGACGGCTTCTTCAGTATCTCCCAAACCGACGCGTTTCAGGGCTGGCCTCTCGAAACACTGGCCGCGACCGTGCGCAGACCCGGGACATCGCCGTGCCCCCGACCGCCTGTCATCGGCGAGCAGCGCGAGCATAGGTGGCGCTGCAGTCGCCCGAGACGCCGCGTGACTGCAGCCGAGCCCGTGCGTCGGCCGGCCGGGGGCCTCCAAATGTGCCGCCTCGGCAGCTGAATGCTATTGATTTTGTTACATCTGCTCACTGGACCGTCTACGGCGCCGCGATCTGACGATGTATGCGGTAAAAATGGCAGCCATTTTGGCTGGGCGCGGCGCGGATCTTGCGTTATTGCCGCAGCCGAGGCGTCGCCCGCGCTAAGGACGATGGTATTGTCGGTATCTGTCTGGATTACCAGGCGCAGGTGCTACACATGTGGTCATTCGTCGCGGGAATTCATCACTGACGAGTAAATAATGGCTGGTAATTTTTTCGTGCTTTCTGAAACATAAAGGGATATTTCCTCCTTTACGAAATGCAATACAACACATCCTTCCTAGAGGGCTAGATTGTTTTAAGTTAAAAATAGTAAATTGGATATTGTTGATGCCAGATTTCAATAGGTGGCCCTTTTCCACATGAGGCCTTCCATTTCATATATATATACACAATGAAATTTCTACACGAGCGTGTTTATGTATTTATGTAGGTATGCATACATGTATGTATGCATGGTCTACGTCAGCTTCGATTGTCTTTGGCTTTCAGCCATTAACGCCCATCGATTATTCCTCGTCCGAGCTGAACAGGTACTAAATGTCTTCGGTTTTGACCTCTGAGCTCAGGCCGGTTGCCCCGAGGCCACACACCAACAAATATACTCCACACCTCGGGCAGGGTGATGACCCCAAACGGGGTCAACGGGGTCACGATCGGGTTCAAGTCAGAAGCAGCAGAACTTAATGCTGCCGATCAGCACGATCTCACTAGAGTTCAAACAAGATGACCTGAGGTCACAGAGGTACGTTATGAACCCCCAGATGAAACGGAGCGGCTTGGGTCTGAAGCCAGCAGGCTGAGGTGGATTGCAATTAAAACTGAGAGGTTCGCCAACCATCGTGCCTTTCTTGTCGCCTGTAAAGCAGACTTTTGCGTGTCGTAGGGTGTCTTTCCTGAATGATTCCATCATTTGGACGCTGACGTACAAGCAAACCACATGATTAGAAGGACATCGCATGAGCTGGTCAAGCTTTGCTTCGACCTGGCGGATACAAAGGAAAAGACCTTCGAGAGCAGTTCTGCCACTTGATGACCGAATTCAAAGGAAGCCATACCACCAGCGAATTCACGATTTTGCTCGCAGAGCTCTCCTCTTACCGGGAAAAAGACGTGAAGAAATGTCAACGACGCCAAACAAAAGAACTTGGGCACCTCCGAGAGCATGTTGTCAACTGCGCAGCGCAGCTACTGCGCAGGAGCAGCAACTGAGGCAGCTGAAGGAATGCCATTCTCGTGGAGTGTTGGGCTGTCCTGCAGCTGGTGTGGTCTTGGCTGGTCCGGAGCCACGTAGCTGCGCTGGTATTTTCCTTTCTAGCCTTTTTGTACATGCTGTCGACGATGCCTTTAACCTGTCTTTTTATTTTGCTTGTCACGTTTGTCTGGACGGGTTGGTTGGTGGCGTCACTCAGTTCTGTTTTTCATTATTTTATTCATTTTTCGCTTTTTAGTTTCAATTACTTTTATCCATTGCGACTTGCCCGGATCCTTCGCCAGCTCATCGGATGGCAATGGTATTGTCCCTCATGAGATTTTGCGGGACTTGCTCCCCTCCTCAACCCCGTTATTGGTACCCTTCGTTCTTATAGAAAGGATGATGTATCCAACGACCTCCTCAATATGCATGTCCAGGCATGGATCATATCCTTTTGACGGACACCACCTGGAAGCTTTATAATTTCGGTCTGGATCGACATTGCAATCCGAGCTGGTCTCAGAAGCGATACGCAATACTCACGCAGACGCATGAGACATTCTCATCCTTTGAGCTCAGAGACAACTTGAGCCAGAGGCTGTTTGCGGGCTGGGACGAAGTTCAGTCCATGCTCAGTCCAAAGAAGTTCAGTCCATGTTCAGTCAAAAGAATTTAATTGCATGTGCAGTCCAAAGAAGTTCAGTCCATGTTCAGTCCGAAGAAGTTCAGCCCATGTTCAGCCACCGATATCTCGCCGTCCGCCAGTTTTCGGGCTGATAATTTGAAGATTTCGGCCGCGATTTTTCGCTGGGTTCCAAACATCAACGTCGAAGATGCTGGTGATATTCCGAATACTCTCCTCGATAGTAACATTTAGTCTTGATAGAAGTCCTAGCCTGGGTTGCAGCGAGTTCAGAGCGACAATGTCTTTGATGTCATCCAGAATGGCATCAACATATCGCCCATGCATCTGAGATTCGATGTCATTTGATGGCATTCGATGACATTTCATGGCATAACTTATTCCCCAATCGAAGACATAAAAGCTTGAGCATACGAGGCTCCGACTAGTGGCCCCATTTCCATTCCGTCTGCTTGGTAGAACAGCTTGCATGAAGGGCGTCGCAAGGTGCCTTGGTAGTATCCAGCCTCAGCACCTCAAGCATGATGTGAATGCAAAAAAAAAGAAAGAAAAAGGGATTTAAATGCTGATCAACTGTGCCTTGCATTTAAACGCTGCATAAACAATAATTCGTTTCTAAAAACACACACGCACGCACACATGCACGCACGCATACACACGCACATGCACACGCACACATACGAGCATATTTCACGCACACGCACGCGCACACGCACAATGGCAGTTTAGAATCTATTTCAGGAAGTCTTTCTCTTGCTGTGTAAATTATTATGTAATTGCAATTCCAAAATATCAAATAATGCAATTCCGAAACCTCAGGTCAATCAAGAGATGCCAAGCATCAGCGAGTTGCTTTTAGCCGCGATGACAACCACACAAACGCAATAAGAAGACTAGAGCAAGTGCAGAAAAGCTAATTAAATGCACCTTCGCGCGAAGTTATTGCATAGCACTTATACGTATATATATATATATATATATATATATATATATATATATATCCAACTGATTTCCTATGCCTGCAGATAAAATCATGATTATGTGCACATAGAAGGTTGTCTTTAAGGCGTAGGATATCAGTGCACAACTGTACATTATTTTGACAGTGTTGGTGGCAAGACTGTCCGAAAAGGTTATCGCGCGGTCATTGCAACTATCTCGGAGCAAAAGGTGTCTGAAATGACGCTCGCTTTTCCAAATTTATCAGGCCTTTACTCTCCACGCGCGTTGCTTCAAGCGTGCAGCACCAAACTCCGATAAAGCATCATGCCACTATGCGTCGGAACATGCCACACTGCCTTTGTCACATTTGCACAATATATTGCGTACGGGCCGTCATCACCACTGAGTGCAAGGTTTGTTGGGTTCAACATTCCTCGGACGCTTGAAATGTTCCTAACGCCGTGCTAATGACATGCGTTTGCGTGCTGGAGATCGTCACTTCATGGGTTTCGTGTCGGCGCCTTTTCAACAAAACGCGAAAGAATGAAGCGATCCTTCGTGCATTCCGCGAGTAACGTGATAGTGGATTCCTAGTTCCGGACTTAACGGCAGCTCAGGGGTGCAAACTGCGTTTCAATTCGGCTTTAATAATGCCTCTATGACAAAAAGCCCGGCTGGATCTGCCGTAACGAGCCTGAGGTGGTTGTTAGGCATGATTGATAATCGCATGCCCCTGCCGGTTCGTGCATTCCTTGCCATTTTGAACCCGGTGCAGTGGAGCATGCTTAACTCGCTCGACGGGCCCGTGCGTTCACAGGTTCGACGCCACTGGCCATGGGGCAGCTGACGAGTGGCCGCCACGGGTCTAGTGTGGGTCTTAGACGAGCAGCACCGCGGGCCACCGGACAAAGTGTGGGTCTTAGACGAGCAGCACTGCGGGCCACGGGTCTAGTGTGGGTCTTAGACGAGCAGCACCGCGGGCCACCGGACATAGTGTGGGTCTTAGACGAGTAGCACCGCGGGCCACGGGTCTAGTGTGGGTCTTAGACGAGCAGCACCGCGGGCCACCGGACATAGTGTGGGTCTTAGACGAGCAGCACCGCGGGCCACGAGTCTAGTGTGGGTCTTAGACGAGTAGCACCGCGGGCCACGGGTCTAGTGTGGGTCTTAGACGAGCA